GGCCTGTGCGTCCGCCCGCCTCTTCCCCTCGTGAATGGCCGTGTGCATCTGAAGGCGGTGGATGGACGGGTCGAAGGGCTGGTCGTCGAAGCATCTGCCAAACGATCAACACTGGCCTTCGAATTCATTCATTGCTGGCGTGATTTGACATTGGGATACGAGAGTGTGGCCGGTGTGTGCCGTGTGAGATGAGTGAGTGTGATGAAATGAGGACTAGTCGCCTCGCAAGATGGGTAGGTAGGTTTGACTGAGATTAAAAGTCTCGCACATCCAATTGATATTGCTGCACTGATGCAGGGACAGACAGACAGACACGAACACACACACACAACACACGGAGATACAATCGGTAGATAGGCACATGGAAGGCAGGACACACACACCGGTCATGTGCAGCTGCAGCTAGATGGTCTTGCATGTTCTGCTCTGCTGTGTTAGCTGTCTGTCTGTCGGTGTTGCATTCTGGCCGGTGCTGGCTCCCACACAGCTGTTGGCTCCGCTGTGCACATGGAATGCATGGGCACAGCTGGACCAGGAGCATGAGGGTGCAAGACAAGACACCAGCCGAATGCACCACCAAACCGACATCGTCAAAGTGATGAGATGCAAGGAGGCCGGCCTGGCCGCACGTCAATCAGTCAGCTGTCTGCCTGCCTGTGTGTTTTGCCAACCCTTCTGGGCGCGCACTCATCGGTATGTGTGTGTATGGTATGGTACATGCAGCAAACAACAAGGGGATGAATGGAAGGCACACACGTCACTGATTGCACTCCCAATCGCCCCGCCCACCACCACCACCAGGCGGACCAAATTCAGCCCGCTTCCATCGATCACCACCAGGTAGGCAGAGACACGCAGGCACCATCTCAGTCAGTCAGTGGGAGGGCCCCCCGACACTTCTTCACAAATATAGCCAGAAATCATCGACCACACGGAGCTGACAGACAGACAGACAGACAGACAGGCAGACAGGTAGCGACAAGACTGCGATAGGGGACAGGCAGGCAGGCAGGCAGGCAGGCAGAGACACAGGCAGCTCGATGGACGGAGAGATAGGGCGGGAGGATATGTGGACAAAAAGATCTGTCCGTCCTACATCACACACGCACTCGTCACATCACAGCCGTCACTGAATGGCCTCCCTCACAGGCAGAGGTAGAGAGAAGGGCACGGCTGAGAGGGGACGGTCAACAGGCTGTTTGTCTGTCTGGCTGGCTGTACTGGTTGGCTGGCTGGCTGGCTGCCCTTAAATCTGCCATGCGATGAATAGATGGTGAATGGCGGAGGGATGGGAGGGGGGCGAGACTCGAGAGATCGCCAGAATGGATCAGCAGAGCTCAGACCTGTGCGGCACTGTAGAAGTCGCCGAAGGCCTGGAACTGCTGATTGCGGGATATCTTGTGCAGGAAATCCTACACACACACACACACACACAGACATGAATACTAATGGTGTGTGTGTTGTGTTGTGTGCGGTGTGTGTTGTGTGTGCCTGGACCGACCTGGAACGGCTGGCACTGCCGTGCCTCGGGTATGTCGTGAACGGTCTGGAGCGTCCGCGTGTAGAGCCGCAGGGCGTCGCTCACACGCTCCACCTCCTGGCCAGAACTCAGCTGCTTCAACGCCTTAATTACCACACACACAAAACACACAACAAACGCACAGCACACATGGATGGACGGACATTCACCTGTGGCAGCCCTTCTCTCCCTCCCTCCCCTCACACACAGACCTTGGCGAGTGCCTTGTCGAGTGGGTCGACGATCTTTTCGAGTTTCTGGATGACGGCTGTGGGGTTGATGTGGGCGAGGGTGGTGAGAATCTGGCAGCACAGCACCTGCACGTCCTCGTGGTCGGCCAGGCCCACGTGGATGAAGTCCATCAGACGACCAGACGCCACCGTGTCCGGGTACACGTTCAGCAGCGACGCCAGGGCTGTGTAGGCCGCCTTGCGCACCGGCAGACCGTCATCAACCTGAGAGAGAACCACCCATTCACACACACCACACACACACACACAGTGACCTTCTCCCCCTCTCTGTGTGTGTCTGTGAGAGCCACCCACCCACCTTGTGTTTGAACGGTCCGAGGTCGACCTCGCGGATGAGCTTCTGATCGACCTGGGTGTCTTTAAAGAGCTGCTCCACCAGGTTCTGCTGCATCTGCACGTCGCTCAGCAGCGAGGTCGACGAGCGCGTCACGCACACGACATTAAGCGTCTGCAGGGCCGCCTTGCGCACCATCAGCTCGCTGTCCGTCAGGGCCCGCATCAGCTGCGGCTGCAGCCCCTCCAGCGTCTTGATGTCGCACTGCTTGGCCGCCGCGAACCTGAGGGCAGACACTGCTGTCGTGCGGCTCTTGGCGTCGTCCGTGTCGAAGAGGGGTGCGAGTGTGGGCGAGACGGCGACGGGGTCGAGGAGGAGGATCTGCCCGAGGCACTCAGCCACGACGGTGCGGTCGCTCTCCTCCTCACTCGAGGCGTACTCGACCAGGATGGGCAGCACTTTGTTGACGTGCGGCTTCAGGTGCTCCGTCAACGTCGGCTGCTCGATGCTCTTGACGCCGTTCATCTCACCAGCACCACCAGCAGCAGCAGCAGCCGGGGGCGGCGCGGGAGTGCCCGCATGGTGCTGGGCCACGACTTCACGCAGCGACGTGAGAAGGAGGTAGTGGGTCTTGTGGGTGTTCTGGGCGCCGTTGGCGGACCGTGTGGAGCGGTCGCTCGAGTGGATCTGGCCGACGAGCACCTTGAGGAAGGTGCTCATGGCGCCGCACGTGGCGTAGCCGAGACCGATGGCGGACGCCGAGCGGATCTCCTCGTGGGGCGAGTGGAACAGACCCAGGAAGGCCTCCAACGCACCCTTGTGCTTGCTCAAATCCACTGCACACACACACACACAACGACATCACAGCACGACTGACATCCATGGCCCCCTCCCCCTCGCTCCCTCCCTCCCTCCCTCCCTCCCTCTCTCCCTCTTCGTGTGTCAGTCAGTGTCTCACCGAGTCGCCCAGTCTCTCCGAGAGCCAGCACGGCCAGCTCGATCTCGCGCACTTTGACCATGTTGCTGGCGCCGCCCACCTCCTTGCCAGAAGCCGATGTGAGCTGCTTGAGCCAGCCCTTGATGGCGTCGGTCTGCGTCTTGGCGGGCGACTTGACGACGAACTGCGCGAGGCACTTGGCGAGGGTGGAGAGGATCTGCCGAGCGGTGTGTGAGGAGGTGGTGGCCTGGCAGGAGGGGGACACGTCGGACAGCTCGGTGAAGACCTGTTTGTGCGGGAAGTGCTGCGGGTGGTCCACCACGTGGCCGAAGAAATCCAATATCGACACCAACGTGTGGCCCTGAACAAACACAGAGGAAAGGTGTGTGAGTCGGTGGATGGATGGATGGATGTGTCTGGGTGGGGTGGCTGGATGTTGGTACCTGGAGAATGGGCGATCGGCAGAGTGTAAGAACGGAGGCCATGCAGGTCTTGGCGACCACAGGTGCGGTCGCCGGCACCGTGGCGAGTGTGGTGGTGATGAGCTGCATGCACAGATCCGCTATGTGCAGGTCCGTGTCCTTGACGTACGGCGTGCAGTCCCTACATCCATCCAGACATCCGGCACACATGAGAACCATTAATTGACCACATTCTCTCTCCCTCTGCTCACTCGAGGAGTCGGTTGAGAATGCTGGCGTCCACCTTGGGCCCATATTTGCGGACGAGAGCGACGAGTACGTCGAGGCAGATCTGTCTGAAGGAGCGGCTCTGGTTGTTGAGGAGCGACGACAGGTGGGCGATGGCCGGCACCAGAGCGGGGTCCAGGTTGATGGACAGAGGCGACGCACACACCGTCTTGAGACTCGCAAGGGCCGTCTTGCGAGTCACCTCATTCTACACACACACACAGGCAGGGAGGGAGGGGCACGCTTGACGAGAACGCCTTGGTGGTGGTTCTGGGGGGGTGAGTACCTTGAGTCGGTCGACGAACGGCATGAGTGCCGCGTCGATGGACTTGGCGAATGCGGGGACGTCCCCCACGACAGCCAGCATGTGGCCGAAACAGTACAACGCACACTCCTTCACCTCCTGCACTCAACACAACACACCGCAACACACCCATGCATCTTCGCACCACTCGTCTGCACACCATCCCCCCTCCCTCCCTCCCTCCCTGTGTGCCTGTCTGACCTGGTCAATGTCGGCCTGAGTGAGTTTGGCCTGCAGTGCGTCCCAGAGGGGGTGCAGGTACTGCTCCATGGGTGTGTCGAGGGGCTCCGTGCGGTCGGGGCGCAGCGCATAGACGTACGCCCCGCACACCCGCAGCGACTGCGCGGCGATCTTGTAGTAGCTGTCGTCAAGCAGCTTCAGAAATATGGGATACAGAGTGGGCGCCATCCCCTGGAACACACTCGCATCCTGCACACACACACACACACAAATAAGCCCCCCATCCACACACACACACACACACTTGTCTGTGTGTCGATCTGTCGGTGCTGACTGACCTGGTAGTGCTCGGCTTGCAGGAAGAGCAGCACGAGTGCGTCGAGCCGGATGCTGCTGTGTGAGCCCTGCAGGCCCTTGACCAGCTCGGGCAGCATCTTGGGCAGCCACGGCTCCAGCTCGGTGGGCAGGTTCTGGGCGATCGTCTTGAAAAGCTGCAGAGCGCCCTGTCGGGTCTTGAGCGACGAATTGCGCAGGTGGCGAAGCATCACTGACAGACACCAACACACACACACACACACATACACATACACACATAAACACGGCATAGGAGTAGTCAGGTGTGTGGTGTGAGAGATATTGTGAGGTCTTACGCGGGACGGCGTTTGCTCGTTCGAATTCCTTGATGAAGATGGCCGCTGCGGGTCGCTGGCGGGGCAGGGCGGCCTTGTTGCGCTCCTGCTGTGCCATGGCGCCGCTCGTCGACCGCTCCGCACCGCTGCTCTCGAAATCCAACGGACCAGTGGGCGTATCCTGACACACCACACACCACACACACCACACACCACACAGGCCCAATGCAGATGTGGGGGAGCGGTGAGGGGGACTGTAGGGCGTGGGGCACCTGGTGGACGACGGCGGCCTTGACGAGTTCGCCGACGGTGTTGAATACGTCGAGTCGGACGTTCTCCTCCCTCTCCTTAAGGCGGCTCACGAGCGGGGCTGTCAGGGCCGTGTAAAACTTCTCGAGGCGGTCCGGGTGCGAACGAATCAACGCGGACAACACCTGCACACCCCCCCAACACAACACAACACACACACCACACACATGTGCACCTCCCCCTCTCCCTCTCTCTCCGTGTGTGTGTCAGTCGCCCGACCTTGAGAGCGGCCCTCCTGACTTTCCAAGAGGTGTCGTCGTCATCGCTCTCGGCCAGCCCCTCGTCGTCGTACTCGTCGGCCTCCTCACCGTCGAGCATCTCGTCGTCATCATCACCGCCCGCATAGTAGTTAGGGTCGTACTCGGCCAACGCCAAAGACTTCTTGATCAGCTGATCCAGATACGGAACCATCTAGACAACCACACCACACCACACCACACGAAATGCCACACACCGTACACAGAGGCGAGATGGGAGGGAGGGAGGGAGGGAGGGAGGGGTACCTGATGGGTGCATTTGATGACGAACGACTCTATGGCGGTGAGGCAGTTCTCCACCACCTCGTGCTCGGCCTCTGCGTCGCCCCCGTCCATGGCCGTGTCCTCCTCGCCCTCCCTGTCCTCGCCACATATGCTCAGAAACAGGGGGGCGATCTCGCTGAGGTGGCTGCCGATGCGGAAGCCCACGTTGCGGCCGACCGTCCCGACGCACTGGATGTACATCTGCTTGTTGGACTTGGTGTTGGCGTTGCGCACGTTCTGCAGCAGCACCCGGATCAGCCCGTGCAGCTGACGGTCCGACATGACCGCTGAGAGCACACCGATGCACGCGATGGCGCGCTTGCGGACGGAGGGGCGGTAGGCGGAGGACAGCAGATTCAGCAAGGCGTGGGACACCGGCTCCTGCGCCACAACACACCACACCACACCACACCACGCCAAACACAGGATGGTTGATGGTGCGGTGAACACAACAAAGCAACGCACACCACACAGCGTACCTGCTCGTTGAACCACATCTTGTTCTCCCCGAATCGCTTGAGCAGGTCGTGGAGCACGTCGGTGCACTCCTCCTTGATGGCCGTGTCCGTGGCGGGGTTGTTGCTGACTGTCTGCGTGATGCCCTGGAGCATCTTGGGGATGACGGCCTGGCAGACGATGGTGCTGCAGCTGTCGTGCAGCTCGAAGATCAGGCCCTTCAGACAGGTGGCGTAGATGTCACGCACCTCGGCCTTGGCGTCGAGCACCAAGGACGCCAGCCGACCCATGACGTCGGTGATCTGCTGCTCGCCAAACCGGCCCACGATCTTCGCGAGACACTTGACCGCATTACCCTGCACACACACACACACACACACACATTGAGAGGGGGAGAGGGAGAGGGAGGCGCTCTGCGTGTGTTGGTGTGTTGTGGGCGTGTGTGGGTGTATGTGTGTGCCCCTCGATTTGGCTGACCTGCACGTCGATTGACTGGTCCTCGAGTTGCGTGAGGAATGCCTGGCAGACCTTGGTCGCGGTGGACTGGTCGAGCGACTGGTGTGTGGAGCAGTTGATGATCTCCTGGGTGAGGTCGCTGGCGGCCATGAACCGCTTGTCCTTGTCCCAGTTGCCCATCTCTATCACCAGCTGGTGCAGATTCGCAGGTGCTGCCATCCTTGCTCACGACAGCCAGACAATGTGGTCGGACGCTCGGTCAGCGAGAAGGATTCGAGAGCGATGGAGAGAGGCAGCTGGCTGCTGGCTGTGATGTGCTCGCCGGAGCGTGCCGCTTCAGTCACACGGACAAGAGGGCGGTCGCGTTGTTGCTTTTGGCGACTCGAGATTCGTCCGTTGGCTCAACAAGAGCGAATGCAGTAGCGCATAGCAGCTGAATTCCCTCCTGCACACGTCAAAATGCCAGATCTGGAAGACGTCTCGAAGATCGCTTGCGAGCTTCAATTCCGTTTGTGGCCACTCCCAGGAGAGATCCTTAGCATTTGCCAGTACGCAGGAGGTGCTGCAGGTCTTCTGCATCTGCCGTTGTCAAGATGCCGTCGGAAGATGTGCCGGACCGCTCCTCTACTGCCGCCTGTTCAGGGGGTGCGCCCAACAGCCAGCTTGGGTGCCGTGCCTGCCAGCAGCACCAACCATCTTCCAGCGCCCTTTCGGATCTTGAGGACCCCAACCGATGCAACTACTGCGGCAACGTTCGTGGACGGCAAGCGGATGTGGCGTTGTCTACTAACAGTACTGCAACAGTTGTCAGGCCAGCGACTGGTCTGCCCGTCACAAGGACCACTGCAAGGAGATGAGCAACATTGTGGTCACCCGTGATGACGAATTGCAGCACCTGCTGTCCAAGGCACAGAAGACGATCGTCAACGAGGTTGTCTCCTTCCTTCGGCAAACCTCATTTCCCACACTGCACGTGTCGCCGCATACGCTCCACGGGGCGGTGCAGATGAAGAGCGACGCTGCCCGCCGTCCCCCCTGCGCCAGCGCTGTCCATGACCAAGGCTTCGTCACATAGGACGTCTTCAGGCTTGTGCACATACGTCTTCAGCATCCGTCCCGAGACGGAGGCCATCAAGGACACCGTGAGCAGGGCCCTCGAGACATACCTGGTCGAGTCTGACGGCAAGCTGCTGCCACACCCTTTCGTCGTCTGCGACGTGGATCTGGACGAGCGTGGGCCAGGCGCGCGCCTCTTCTGGTCGGCGAGTGGGAGTGGCTCTTCATGCCGGAGTGGTGGAGCGTGTGTCGTGAGGCACTGGTGAGCAAGACATCGATACCATACAAGCAAGGGGACCGACTCGCACTGACGTCAGGGGAAGCGCATTGCATCGATGGCTGTGTCCGGGGGCGTGTTGCAATGCACCTGGAGGTCATGGCCAATGGTGCCGTCGAGCGCATGTCGCTGTCAGAGTATCTGACACGCGAGGAGTGAGTGACGCGGATCGCGGCCATCGTGGACAGGAGACGTCGAGAGGGGCATGGCCGAGTATTGCTCTACCAACGTACGCACACACGCACATCCGTCCAGCTGTGTGCCTGCTCCGTTTGCAGAGTCGCCTACGTGCCCGTAACGTCAAGACTCAGCTGATCAACAAGGCGGACTTCTTATGTGCGCCGCTGAAAATTAGCAAGACGGACTTCCACCGCATCAGGACGGAGCTGGCTGCCGTCGACCCGCCGTACTCGCTATCCGTTCAGCCATCATAGATGCGCGGCCGCCACAGGTCAGCTAAACACACGCGCACACACACACACACACACACAGAGAGAGAGAGAGAGAGGCGCATACACGCAAGTGCATCGGTGAGAATGTCTTCTGATTGTTATGTCAGGACTAATCGGCGTGGAGCCTCCGTGCGTTTGGTCTGTGCACTGTATGCGATGCGTGTGAGCTTGCTGTGTGCTTGTCATTGTGTGGTGTGTGCGTACCGCAGTACTGACATTCACACACACCCGAATTTTATGGCTGCGTTGCATGGTGTGCCGCTCATCCATCCATCAATCCATCTGAATTAGTCGACATACACCTTAGTGGTGCCTGTCTGTCTAGTTGCTCTGCTGTCTCTCTGTAGCTGTCTGTGTCTCCCTATGTAGCTGTCTTGTGTTCTGACGCTCTCCCTGGGCTCGTTTCCTCTGTCTGGGTGTCTGGGTGTTTATCCGATGGCTTGCGCCTCATTAGACATCAGCTTATTGACACACTTGTACATTGATGGGGCGGCTTTGGCGCCGTGTGCGTGAGAAGTCTGTCACGCGGCTGGCTAGGACTGCATCCATCCGTGTGGTTTCACTGCAAAAACTTAAATTGAAATCGGAGAGGCCGAAAAATGTCATCGCATCAATCCCGTCGTCCATCCATCCACACACACACACACACATGCATCTGCCAACACACACGCACCATGAGACAGACAACACAGCCGCTGGTGCGTCTTGTCGCGTCGGTCGCACGCTTCGCAGGTGTCCTCCACGCAGAGAAGAAACTGCGGGGAGGACGCCTCCAGAGCACAAGACCTACGCGACAAGACACAGCCAGGAGAGGGCACAGATCACATCGCTCACATCACATACGTCACTCATGCAGTCCTCAGATGCCCAGATCAAGACGTCGACCTTATGGTGAGCTACCTCACCGTCTGCCATCGCCTCCCCTGCCCAACGGCCAGCCAGCCAGAGGCGCGGGAGAAATTGTCAGCCACACAGCTCGCCACACACAGAGCACACTTTCACGCAGACACCTCACCAGACGAACGCGCAGACGCACCACTCACATGGACATCCATAGACATAAAACGACCCACCCAACGCCCCCCCACCACAACGCCACACACACATATAGGCAGAGAGATAAAACCGCCCACACCCACCGAAAGCACGAGCACACCTCCGCCCATCCATCTTGTCAACCATCAGCCGAGGTGTGTGAGGTGCGGGACGATGTCCACAGGCGGTCGGAGGTCGGCGCACACCTTCATGACGCTGTGGATCTTGTGGTTCCTGAAGTCGCTGATCAGCTGCGCGTCGATGGGGGCACTCGACAGGTCCGCCAGCTTGGGGAAGGCCTGCTGCTCAAACAAATAGTCAAACCGGGGCGCCCACTTCCGAGAACCTTCACACACAGACAGGGAGAGACGGAGGGAGAGAGAAAGGGGTGTGTCACCGGGTCGGTGTGTGTGTGTGGGGATGGGTGCCTTTCACCGACCTAGTCGTGCGGTTCTGCTGCAGTTGTCGACCATGTATGCGACGCCCTTGAAAGCCATGTATGGGTTCAGCGAGTCCACCGCCTCTATGATGCTCTCGTTCGCCACCTCGCTGTACGCATGACCTGACAACGCACACACAGCAAACCACACCACACCGCACACAAACATCAGGAGCGTTTCCACAGTCTCTGTCTGTGTGTGTGTGTGGATGGGCGCGGCGCAGACACGTACCGGCGTCCATGAGGAGGTCGCACTGTGCGACCATGGTGGCGAGGTACATGCCGGCCGTCACGGGGTCGACAGGGATGGTCGCGGGACGCGCCTCACGCACCTTGTCGCCCACCTGCAGATGAATGCACCCACACAAACACACATCACACACAGACATTGCACACAACAAGCCAAGGGGGAGCCTTGCTGTCTGTGTGTGTGTGTGTGTGTGTGTGTGACTGTGTGTGAGTGACTGTGTGTGAGTGTGTGCGTGTCTGACCTGCCACAGCTCAGTGGAGTCGATTTTGCCGATGGGGTAGAGCCTGAACCGCTTGGAGTGGTCGATGACTGAGGCGATCTCGCGACCTGACGCAACCTCCTCATAGCACTCCAACAATATCTCCTGCACACACACACACACACACGGAGAGAGATGCCATTGTGAATGTGTGTGTGTGTGAGGGGTGTGTGATGGGAAGTCACCATTGCAGGGTGGTATGCGGCGGTGTAAGCCTTTTCGAATAGCTTCTTATCGGCGTCGCTCATGTTGGTGTAGATGGACAGCAGGCCCGTGTGGCTGATGCCCTTGGAAATGGGACCCGTGATGCACTCCACAGACCTGACACACACACACACAGACACAGGGTAGGTGGAACAGTCCGGCCCAGTCCCTCCCTCCCTCCCTCCCTCCCTCCCACCCACACTCACCGAATGTAGGCCTCTGCCTTGTCGACGCCATTGCGCACAAAGTAACGAAACAGACCCTCACACAGACCGTGGACAGCACCTGCACACAACACACACACACACACACACACACAGACAGCCGAAGGATCTACCAAACCACTGGCAATTCCTCTCTGCCCCACCTCCGCTGCCTCACGCACCGAGTAGGATGCCTCTCTCTCCGAATATGTCTGACTTGTACTCGGACTCGAGAGTGGTCTGGAAGGTCACGGGCGACCCCAGACCCACCGCCCAGCCCAACGCCACGTCAGTCGACCGCCCTGTGTCAGTGAAGGCACACACACACACACACACACACACAGAGAGAGAGAGAGAGAGAGAGAGAGGGAGGGAGAGTGTGTGCGTGAGAGTGTGTTGATGTCTTATGGTGTGTTGGGCTACCTGACACGTCTTGATGCACGGCGAATGAGCAGTTGATGCCGGCGCCGTTGACCTCACGGCCCTGCTCATACAGACGGCGGACAGACGGGCCCATCCCTGCAAGGCCACACACACACACACACACACACCGCATGCGACGGCACACGCGTGAATCCACCACACACAGACATGTGTCCACTCCAGCGGAACGGACCTTTTGGGCACACGGCGATGACGTTGAGGTCCTTTGGGAAGGTCTGCCCGATGCTCTTGAGGTGGCCCAGGAGGAAGCCGTGGCTCAGCCCCAGGTAGCTCCCGCCCTTGAGCGCCTTGAAGATCTGCTCGTAGTTCTCACTCTGCGCCGCGTCGGATATCAGCAGAATCGACAGGTCGGACTCGGCAATAACGTCGTACATCTCGCCGAGAGTGCCGGAGGCCTCGGTGAAGCCCTTGTCTTCACAGGGGTGGCGGCCCTTCTTGAGCGTCTCGCTCCGGAGGCCCAGCTTGACCTTGATCCCCGTCCCCTCCAGGCTGTCGCGCAGGTTCTGCGACTGGGCCGGGCCTTGCGAACCCCAACCAATCACACCGATCTGCTTGATCCCTGCACACACACACACACACACTTGCAGTGCATCACGGTGCACCCTGCTTGTGCCTGTGCCTGCGCCCACCACTGAATGCCTCAGGCAGTTTGCTGAAGAGGTGCCGTCCGCCGCGCACGATCCACTCGTCCTTTCCGCCGATGCTGATCTTCTCCTTGGTGAAGACCTTTGTGTCGAAGCCAGACGCCTCATGCACCCTGTACTCAGTCAGGTAGGTGCGGCTCAGCGCAGGGGCCAGCGGGGCGGAGCCATTCGTCGCAGCCATGCTGCGCAGAGGCGACGCTACTGCCCGCATCACTGTTGTTGGAGGGAAAGGCGGCAGATCTATTGCGAGCCAGACAACCGATTTCGCGAGCTTGCAAAAGATCTGACGCCGATGTCGTGAGGGGCTGAGGGTCTGTTGTAGCTGTTGGACAGGCAGGGAGCATGGCGGTTTTGTCGAAATATATGCAGCAGGCGGCCGCGGCGACACGGCTCGGCAAGGCGCCCGTGGAGATGCCCAAGAGTACACACACCACCCCTGCACAGACACACACCGACACACGCACACGGACGACGCACGCAACCCCATCACTGCCTCTACTTGTGTGCGCCGGTGTCGCTGTGCAGAGCTGGACAAGTCGATGTCGTTCCGTGACTACTACAAGCACTCGCCTGTGGCCTTCTGGCTGCAGATCCACAACCCCACTCGCATGCCCTTCTGGAGCCGCGTGTGGGAGCAGCAGTTCGAGAACCGGCAGCTGCTGGGGCTGGGGTGGACGGGGCCCTTCCTCACCATGGCACTCGTGGCACTCACAGGCATGTACGGGCCGGCGCCCATGGACAGAGCCGACCTCTCATGGATGAATTCACGTACGCAATGGGCGAGAGGCAAGGCAAGGCAATGTGGTTCTGTCATTGTGCGTGTGTGGGTGGGCGGGTGGGTGTGCGCTTGTGTTGCGTTTGTGTGTTCAGTTCGGTTTCGTATGCGGACTGCGTACATCAATGAGGGTCGGCGGCCTGCGTATGAGATCGAGAAGGTCCGCGGGGACATCCGCTACATGTACCGGGGCATCGACCACAACTACACACTCAACGAGAAATACGACCTGCTCTTCAAACTCAGGTGGGTGGGCGGTGGAGGGGGGGGGATAGGTGGCTCGCCATGTGTGCATGTGTGTGTGTGTGTGTCTGCGTGTGTGTATCTGTGTCAGGGAGAATTATCTGATTGAGCGTCACCCGGGCATTCAGTATCCGTTTGTGTACCGACAGTTCAACAAACTCTCAGAACAGCCAGACACCTTCTTCGTAAGCCCATGCACACCGCACCCCTCCACTAACCGTCGAATGAATGCCCATCTCTCTCCCTCTCCCCCCCTCTCTCCCTCTCTCTCTCTGCGTGCGTGCGTGCGTGTGTGTGTATGTGTGTGTGTGTGCCATCAGGCCCGGACGTACCCCACCCCCCAAGCATCGCCCCACTTTGAGCACCATGGCAACGGACACCACTGACCGATCGGCAAACAGACGCCTGCATGAGATATAGGGGGCTGCGGGGCATGAGGGCATTTGTGTTGTTGTTGTGATGGCTGGAGGCGGCCATATCGTTAAGGCAGAAGTTGACTTGACTTGAGACTGATTGCTTCAGATTGGTCCGATGCTTTTGACGACAGCGTGACGCTACCTGCCTGCCTCCCTGCCTGCGTGCAGGTTTCATTGTCGTTGAAGCATTCAGTTGACATGTCCGTCACGGCACACACAAGCAGACACAGTCAACCAGGCAGTCATCGAGAGAGAGATCCGGCAGGTGGTGAGCCAGCCATGCAGCACAACGCACACATCCGAAGCGCGGCGGACCGCACCCAAACCGACAGACACACACAGATATAGACGGAGGGAGGGAGGACCATAAATAGAGAACAGAGACCCAAGGAGAAAAAGGCGAAGCCATAGACCGACTCACGCAACCATCAGAGCCAAGCCAGACATTCGGTAACTAACACATCAGCAGCTGGTCGACAGAGTCACGGATCCGCTACAGAGATAACTGACGACGGCCAGCAGCCAAAGATACCCTCCTGACGGCAGACACACACACTCAACCACCAGTACTACTGACTGATGGATCGATCAGTCGCCGCTCTCCGCCTCAGCTACGCCGCGGTCACCTGCCGAAGGCACCACACACACACACACACACAGAATGTGACGCAGGTCGACGTGCAGGCCTGTGTGTCGTGTGTATGGCTGCGTACCTCGGCTGTCCTCTCACTCGCTGTCGTCATCCATATCCTCCCAACCGCCGCCATGGGCGTCGGAATCTACACCACAGCCAAAGACAGACAGAGAAGAAATGCCATCCATCCATGGCCACCATGTGTGTGCGTACCATCATCGCTATCATCGTCGCTGTCATCGGCTACTTGTCCGTCGAAGACGTATGGCGCCACTCGCCCCAACGCCACACGGGCCAGCTGAGGGGTCACGGGGAAGCGGTCCTTGAAAGCACCACTCGCGCACACAGGAACTTCGGTCGTCTCGACACTAACCCTCACTGCACACAATGACACACAGAAAACACTGATGACACTTTACCAGCAGAGCTGCCTGTCTGTCGGCCTGACCATTGTCGTTTCCCTGATCCGCAATGGTAATCCACGCGACGAAGTCGTGGCTGCTGTCGGTGAGCACCAGAACTCGCACATAACCGTCGCCACAGCTGAATGTGCTGGTGCATCCGGCCACCGGTGTGTGGGGCGACTGGGTGAGGAGGCCATTCAGACGGCCGCCTCCAACACGCCTGAACCAACCACACACACACAATCACACACGCACCCACTGGTGCCATTGGTGTGTCACCTGTTGAGGAGTATCGATGTGCAAGGGATCTGGGGAGTCCATGTGAAGGTGTCGAGGATCACACGCTTGGCGAATGACGACACCGACGCATCGGTGGACGGCCAGCTCGACAGCCATCCGCCGTCGATGTGGTCGATGCGGTTTTTCACCGGTGGGTCATGCTCTAGTCGATGCTGCTGATACAGATGGCCGGCGGGGAGGGGCGGGTCGACGTCCAGCCGGAAGCCGGACCAGTCCTCGATGGCCAGCACCCTACCATTGCGGCGGAAGGTCTGCAGGCGGCCCCAGCAACCGAAGTCTATGTGGCGGCCGACCACCATCAGCTGCGCCAACACACGAGCTAACGATCCATACGCCTACACCACACACACACACACACACAGACAGACAGGAATGAGGCCTCTCTGTTCTCTCCCCTCCCCTCTGCGTGTGTCTTACCGTCTTGTTGATGTGTGTGTGGATGTCATCGGCTGTGAGGATGACAGACAGCTCACAGTGGCCGCACTGCCCCGCCAGCTCAATCACCTCGCCGATCTCCACCCACTCTCCCTCCTCCATCACACACACAGCCGCCAGCAGATTACACACGCCGAACTGGTCATCGTCGAACCGCACCAGCTGCACTTGCTGCCCGTTGACCACCCGCCGCAGCCCCGCCTGTGAGTCGACAGAGTGGCGGAGCCGATCTCTCAGCTGGGCCGCTCCGAAGAGACCTCTGAGGCATGTGCAGGTGGCTTTCAGCTGGAGTATGTCTGTGAGGCTGAGGAGGTAGATGGTGCGCCGGCCAACGAAGATGTACGCGAAGGGATGCTGCTGTGGTTGCTGCTCCTGCTGATCCAGCATCATCGCGCCCACACGACACAGGGAGGCCTTCAATGACACGGGTCAAGCTCGCAGACGTCGAAGAATTCGCTCATCCTGTCCACTCGGCCCGGACGGCACTCCCGCTGTGTGTGGGGGTGTGCGGCAGCTGAGATCTCCCGCCGGATGTTCCATTTATCTCGAACGAGGCAGGGAGGCAGAAGACAAGCAAATGTGCTTCGTGAACGAGAGAGCTCCTCCGGTCCTTCTGCTTGTCCAAAACCGCCGATTTTGAGCCAGCTTTCCGCCTGGAGAGCTGGCTTTCCACTTGGAAAGCTGGCTTTCCGTTTAATAAACTGGCCTTCTGCCTGCAAAGCTGGCTTTCCGTGGCGCTGGCTGGCTTTCTGTGTGTCTGGCCAGCTTTCTGAGTGGAGGGCCAGCTTTCTGAGTGGAGGGCCAGCTCGCCGGCCGAAGCACCAGCTTTTCGCCGCACCTCGTCGGGTAGTGGATCCGGATCCCCAGTTGATAGACGCCGGCGGCGTCCCCACTCTCTTGTCATGCTGCTGTCGTCCAGCGGTAGTCTGCTGCTGCGTGGCCTCCTTCCTGTAGCACAGGGCCAGGTACTCGGCAGCGGCGTGCGAAGCCATTCTGCTGGAGAGGCTTTGCAACAATCAGGGTGGTCCCGTTGAGGCGCAGGTCGAAGTCCTCGAGAACTGCGGTGCGCTGCTGATGCAGGCTTGCAGCTGCTCACCAACAATCGACTGCTGCCGTCATTCCCTCTGCTGGAGTGTGTCTGTGTGCTGGTGATGCTGGTCAAGACGCCCGGCCAGAACACACACAAGCTTCAGAAGGCGCTGGCAATTATCCGCTCTGCCGCCACTCCTGGTGCAAAAACCAAAACAAGCTGGCAAGAATGGCTGGCTGCATCGGAGCGGCCTGTCTGCCTGTCTGTCTGCCTGTCTGTTTGTCTGTCTGTCTGTCTGTCTGACTGTCTGTCTGTCTGTCTGTCTAGAGTGCACCGACGAGTGTGCTGCGTTGTTCTTATATCTTCTGACCGGGAAGACGCCTTGGCCAAGCCTGCACTGGCGCGAGGAGTCATTAGAGATTCAGACAACAGCGACTGACTCGCCGTAGCTGCTCAAAGTCAGCTTGAACACACACACTCACGCGGAGACAGAGAGACAGCACGCCCCTCGCCCGCACAGACACATGTCATTGTGTCTGTGTTGCTGCAGCTGTATTGTGTACACATTGCGTGCACTTGTAACCCTGATAGCTCGCCCAAAAGCTCGCTATAAGGGCTGCAGTGCGTCCAACGTAGGGTTTTTGATGAACCGGATGAGCAGGGGGCGGATGGAGGTGATTTGGGGTTGATTTGACCGAGTAATGAAGCAAGCACGCATCGTGTGTCCCCATACTATAGGTAGACGGCCTAGAGAAGGCCAATCACCTGTACACCACCGAGTAAGCAAACGAATGAACGGTGCCGGTGTCTCCTTAGAAAATAAACGAGAAATATGGGCACACATCTTCAGGCTGAAGCTCGCCCCACTTGTCAGCATCCGCCCCACGAAGTACAAAGACTTCAAGATACGGAATCATAAGCGACACACTGAACAGACATACAGACAGACAGACAGACAGGAAAGGCAGACAAGGGTCCATTCTTGCAGCATATAATAGTGTGTGTCTCGATCGCAGCTTACCCGCGGGTCATCATCCATAAGCACGTAAAAAATCCGCACCATGTGACGCCTTTCTCGTAACTGGATGACAGCAGAGGGATGTTGTTCCATCGGACCATCACGAGAAAGAGAACCGCTTCGAAAGCGCATTCGATGCTGACCAGCACGAACAGGCCCCCAATTCCTTGCACAAAAGCGAGAGATGACGCGGTGCCCATTATTTGGTTAGTAATTAACAAAGTCAGGTTGGTGTAGAGCAGCCCGGTGACTTCGATGAGAGAGTACAGCCTGATTTGGTCTGACAGGGTGCGGAGGTAGCGAGCTGAGACTTCCAGAGACGCCAAAGCTGACTGCACGTTGACAGTCGCTGGCTCCGTGCTAATGAAGGAAAGGGCTGCTGTCATTAATGTGGTCTGCCGCCTCAGGTGACTGCTCGTCGTCCCGCTGTGCTGGAGTCTTGAAGCGTTGTTGTCTTTGTGTCTAAGTGGTCGATCGCTTATCGCATTGTCAACTGCAGCGGTCGCGATGTCAGTAAAGGGAGGAGGGTCCGTCGCCTGTGGTGTCCCTGCCTGTGCTGTCTGCTGTGCAGTGGGTTTGGGTCTGTTGCAGTGGCCGCTCATGAAGAACCTTCTTGCGAAAACGTAGAGCAATATGTCTGCATTCATCCAAGAGAGGATAGACAGCTATAAAGAGAAGCATCCAAGAAGTCCATTCATATGTACATGCCACTACTACATGGCTGACGCACAGTATGGAAGTAGTATATCCGTGATGAGATCCAGGCTGAAGGCGGACAGCGATGAATAGTAATATGTCTCATTCATGTTTTCGTCTATAGCCAGCTTACAGGGCAATCAAGATAGAGTATATGAGCTTGCTATCTAAGCCCGCCATGTCTGCTTGGAGGCATTTTGGTGCCACCACGTATATTACCGCAGGCCCAACTATCATGTGAGAATTCAAGGTTGGGGGGCCCTCCTGTGTGAGAGAACAAGCACGTGTACATATCGGAATTATTGGGCTGGCTTCGCTATATATGTACCTTAATTGATCTGATAAGCTTGTTCACCAGTGATACAACCGGCAAGAACATTAAGACAAATGAGACCGCTATATGAAGTTGTCTCTTATCGGTATGTGCAGCGGCTGCAAGGGGGAAGAAGATCGTCTCTAGGAGCGTGGTCGAAGTGAAGCTCAGCGCAAAGACAATGGTGCCTTTCAGTGCATATTCCTGCTTGTGCTTGATGCCTATGGATCCAGCCACCTGGGATCCAGCCACCTGGCGGAAGTAGAGGTAGGGGCAAATGATCATACAGCTCCACCACATTGGTGTGATAATGCGTCTCCTCCAAGTTCCCTTCCCGTGCGCTTGGTGGGCGACAGCAATCAGGATGGACACCATCATCAGAACGGCGAAGATGAGCCGGCATTCCTTCAGCCTGGAGAGCATCATCCGTAGATCCACTCCCTCAGTAATATGCAGGTAGAACAGGATTACCGGGCATGCCACAATACGACGGATGACGTCGAAAGCGGGACCCAGGTCGAAAAGTGATCGGCATGCGAATTGCCGAAGAGCGAGTGTGTAAAGAACGAGAAGCGCCGCGATGCCAAGAGCCATCCCCAGCTGCCGCATGATGACTTTCATAACTCGTCTGACGGTGATCCTCAGAGGTTCGGGGGCAAAGTGTGCACCCACGAGCACCTCTCGTGTTCTGCCGTCGGGGTCCGCCACCGTCCTGTACACGAGCGTCGTGTCGAATTCCTCGTAAGCAGCATCATAGCCAGCCGCCTCACGGAACTCGCGAACTAATGCATCCATCGCTCGCTCCTCGCCAGGCAACACACGGCCCTCCTCTTGCTTCCCGGCCGCCTTGTTGCTGTCGTTGACTGCGATGTTTGTCTGCCCTGCCGTTGCGGTGGTTGTGGTTGAGTTGAGTGACGCCCGTCGTCTTTCGTCCCCGTGCTGGTACGCTGTGATGTTGATGTGGTCGCCATCAGCTGCCCCCTTATCCTCGTTGCTATTCTGTCGTTCGTCCAGCGGATTGTTTCCAAGGCTGGGCAGGGACGAGCTGCTGCTCACATCGCATGGTTCATCGCCATCCACTTGAAAGAGTCTCGCAGTCCCCCGCACTTGTGCGTTGGTCATAACGTGACCGCCATCAGCTGCTCCCTTGTCCTCATTGTCGTTCTGTTCGTCTACCAGATTGGTTCGAAGGCCGGGGTGGGACCAGTTGCTGCGCACATCAGACACATCACTGCATGGTTCATCGCCATCTTCTTGAAGGACCCTCACAGTCCCCCGCACGGGTGAGAGAGGACAAACAGTGTTCTCGGTCATTCTCCGTCGGGCGGGACTCGTTACGTTGAAATGCATGTAAAAGCCCATGAGCCCCGCAACGGAACCGAAGGGAGTGCTAGTAGCTTGGCCCCAATTGCGGCATCGGCCACTCGAGTCAATTCGCATCTCGTTGGGCTGGAGGAGATCTCTGTCAGTGAGTGAGCAGCCATGCAGAAAGCATCCACGGGCAGCCCTGATCTGTGTCATTTCTTCTGCAGGTGTGAGTCGTGACATCGGAGCAGGCACGGACCATTCTGCGCGTGTATGTCTGTGTGTCGGTCTTTGCAGCTGTGAGGCAATGGAGTCGGCGGGCGGCACAGCCGAGGCCAAAGATGACCATCCGTCGCCCCAAGCAGTGCGGGTCAAGGCGGGCAAATTGGTCGATGCCATCCACACCAAGGCGCCTACGACCAGGCCGTCCACCAGCGAGGGCTGGATGCCGTCGAGACCGAGATCACCGCCGTCATGACCGACATCTGCCACCTGACGGCGTCGGCGAGCGATCAGCAACTCTGGTCCCGCGCCATGTATCAGCTTCTCCGCCTGTTGAGCATCAACCACATGGCCTCCACAATGGAGCAGAAGGCCGTCGACGTCGTTGTGGTGCCTGTCTTGGTCGAGCAGCTGAGCGGGCGCGAGGAGCTGGAGAGTGTGGCAGACTCCTTAGCAGACTGGCGCTGCGTCATGCCGCGGGCGTGGTGGATGCCAGTGCGGTCCCGCCGCTGGTGCAGCTCGTGTCGTCACCCGATGATGATGTGCGTACAGAGGCCATCGAGGCGCTGTGCAACGTCACGAAGGGATCAGTGACCGGTCGCGATGCCGTTGTGGCGGCCGCAGGCGTCCTGGAGCCGCTGCTGAAGGCGATGCGCGAGAGCAGCAGCATCAAGGTGCTCGCCAGAGGTGTCCAGCTGCTCTTCACCCTGTGGAGTGTCCGGCCGCCCCTGCCTCCACTGGCCAAGCTGGCGCCCTTCGTGCCCATACTGGCAAGTTTCACCAGTGCGACTGATGAGGGCGACCGTGTTCGGGTGATGGGGGTACGTGGCGGAGTTGTGTGCCTGGGCGTGTATCGAGGGCCAAGGTCAGTGCGGGGACGAACCGCCACCTTTGGCTGCCTCCACGGCTGATCGCTGTATACGCCCTGCTTGCCTCTGATTGGTGATTCCCTGGCCCTCATAGGTACCGATGCCGACCGTGATATGTTGGTCGAGTGTGCCGCCGTGGCAGTCAGCTGAGCCACAAATGAGACTCACCGGATGCCTGACGATGGCGTTCGTAACTGGAGGTAAGACGGCCACACACATGCCATCCTGCGGCGTCACGAGTAAGGTGCTGTGCTGTTTGGTGTGGACCGCTTGGGTGCAGGTAGTCCTGCTCACCTGCAGGCTGTCATCGATCCTGATTTATTTCCTCTGCTCGTCGACGCGGCGGTCAGCGCGGAGCTTTCCGGCACGGCAGCAAGGACCATCGGAAGAATTGTAGCCCGAGGATCACAGCGACAGGTGCGTATGGGAGCCAGCGATCTCCAAGACACACACCGCACATAGCCCCACATTGACGTGTCTGATTGCGTATCCGTTTGTGCAGATTGAGCATGTGGCTGAGTGTGGGGGAATTCAGCGCCCCTCTTGGCCTGCTCAATAAGGACAGCAACCACAATGCCTCCACGGGTATCACGCTCAGGATGCTGTGGCACGTGCTGTGGCAGATGCTAAGTTAGGTCCACTACACGGAAGTACATGTCCATCGCTAGCCCCCCTACCAGTTGTGTGCTGCCGATGTGTGTTGTCTGGGTGTGTGCAGTGCGGGTCGGCAGAAGCAGGCCAATTGGATGAGGGCCTCCCCGACAACCCCTACCACCCACAAATTGAGCAGGTGAGTGGACGAGAGAGAGAGCGACGGACAGCGGGTACCATTCATTCACACGGCTGTCTACCTTGCTCTGACCTCCTTGCAGGCCGGCGATGTGGACAAGTTGGTCGAGCTGCAGGCACACAAGGACTGACGGGAACATCGCAGAGCAGGTGGCCTGCCTGCCTGCACGGCACCGTGTGTGTATGGGACACCACGCGAACACACACTGTCAGTGTGTTGTCTGTCTCTTGTGTGCTCTTGGGTTCATTCATTCAGACAATGGCGATCCACATTGACCACTTCACAGCTCGCGTCGACGCACAGCGTCTGGAGGCCTTGATTCAGGCGGGTGTGATTCACGTGGTCCCTGAGCCTGGTGGGGGTGAGGATGACCGGGCCACCCACGTTAGCGACAGCGACAGCGGCAGCGACAGCGATGGCGACAGCGATGGCGACGAGGAGGCAGACGGCCAGCTGTATGGCAATGGCGCGGACCAGGAGGAGTAGACAGATAGCTAGACAGACGGCCGCTTCCTCCATGACGCGTAGATGCGTAGATGCGTGCATTCCTAGTGTGTGAATGTCTGTATGTGTAGCTAGCTGGCGAGAGGCAGAGACGCAATACAAAGGCATACGGATGTGTGGCTGACTGACTCGACGAGCATCGCGTTGAAATGGCCAGCCTGTTGCCCGATGGCCGGCCGTGTCTTGATGGAATCTGACTCGTCGCTGGACACATTGACTGACACGACCATGGGGCCAAATGAAATGAGGCACGTTTTGATGGGATTTGACACGAAAGGACGGTTAGTACTATTCACACACTCATGCATACTGGGCAATGTCACGCGCATCAGAGAATACATGCATCGACACACCGGACAAAGTCAGCCAGCCATCCATCGGTATACATCGACAGGGTAGAGGGAGGGGGAGAGACAGCTAGACACGCACATAGCTCGGCAGACAGGCCCGACGCACAGACCTACCCCAACCCCTCAGACCACAGCCAGCCTGGATGGGGATCATCAGCAGCTATCTATGGCGCCAGTTGAATGCGACCCAGCTACAGGTATCCTCCTGAACACCGACGCACACACCGGGAGGGCACGGCATCCGTTCGTTGACTGACCTGGTGGGGTGTGTCGTACCGGTGTTCGATATGTTTGTGATTATGGCGATGCAGTGCCCTCGTCACCGCTCTCCTCGTCAGCTGCGGCGTCCTCCTCCTCATCTGTCAAACAGACACACACACCTGCAATGAGAGAGAAAATCTGTGTCCTTGTTCCCATCCACTATGCTGTACCTCCGCTGCCCTCTCCTCCGCTGCCCTCATCCATATCATCATCGTCACCCTCATCCATATCGTCACCGTCTACACCACACATAGACAGACAAGGCACATCGTCGTATAAACGACGTTCATACACACATTCCTCCCTCAGCCCGTACCGTCATCGTCGCTGTCGTCGTCCTGCTGCTGTTGTACTTGGCCGTCGAAGACGTATGGCGCCACTCGCCCCAGCGCCACGCGAGCCAGCTGAGTGGTGACGGGCAAGCGGTCCTTGAAGGAACCGCTCACACACACAGCCGCCTCGGTCCTCCGAACATCCACCCTCACTGCAGACAGACGAGAGAGAACAACACATGACATTTGATCACCAGCAGAGCTGCCTGTCTGTCGGCCTGACCGGTGTTGTTTCCCATATCCACAATGGCAATCCATGCGACGAACGAATGGCTGCTGTCGGTCAGCACCAGCCACCGCACATCACCGTCCCAGCTGAGTGTGGTGGTGCATCCGGCCACTGGTGTGTGGGGCGACTGCATCAGGAGGCCGGCCGCCACCAACACGCCTGAACCAACCACACACACACACACACACACACAATCAGACACACACCCCTCTCACTCACTGCTGCCATTGGTGTCTTACCTGTTGAGATGTATCCATGTGAGATTGATCTGGTGAGTCCTGTCGAAGTGCCGGAAGATCTTGCGCTTGGCGAATGACGATACTGACGCATCGGTGTACGGGCCAGCGAACGACACCCATTCGCCGGCGGTGCCAGAGTAGTCGATGCGGCTGCGCACTGGTGGGTCATACTCTAGCCGGTGCCGCTGGTACAGATGGCCGGCAGCGAGGGGCGGGTCGACGTCTAGCCTGAAGCCGGGCTCGTCCTTGATGGCCCGCACCTCACCATTGCCATGGCGGAAGATCTGCAGGCGAGTGCCGTAACCGAAGTCGATGTGGCGGCCGACCACCATGAGCTGCGCCAACACACGAGCTACCGATCCATACGCCTACACCACACCACACACAGAGACAGAGAGAGAGAGGGAATGAGGCCTCTCTGTTTTCTCCTACCCCTGTGTGTGTGTGCCTTACCGTCTTGTTGGGGTGTGTGTTGATGTCATCGGCCGTCAGGTTGAGGGGCAGTGTGCAGCAGCCGCACTGGCTGGCCAGCTGCAGCACCTCAGCCACCTCGTCCCACCTCTGCTCTTCCACCATCCAGATGGCCGCCAGCAGCTCACGCGGTTCAGACACCGTCTGGGCGTCGAAGGCCAGCACGACGTCCAGCCGGGTGCCGTCAGCGAGGCGAATGCGATGGAGGGAGCGGTTGAGTCGGCTGCGGAGGATCTGGGCGGGGAAGTCGACCTTGCTGAAGAACATGGCCGACCTCCTGATGTGGCCGAGGTCCTTGACGTTGTGCAGCTCATCGCGCTCGTCCCGATAGACGACGTCGAGCACCTGGCCGTTGATGGCGGGCGACGCCTTGTCGGTGCTCTTGCTATTGACCGCACCCATCGCACTCGTAAAGGCTACTTTCTACGCCATGGAATCGTCATTGAAGCTCGCAATGAAGAGAATGATCGAACTCACTGCTCCCGAGATGGCGAGAAGAGAGAACACAATGTGCCATGCCATGATGTCTGCGGGATGGCCGATTGCGGTTTGAGTTCAAGAAGAAGGAGAGTTGAGTGCACACCGATATGGGCAATGATGCATTGCTCATTCATTCACACACCCTCGTGAGTCAGTCAGTCCATCAACACAGCCAGGCCAATACATTTATATGGACCGTCACGCAGAGAGGGGAGAGCCAGCCATCGTCATGCATCCCTACGACCGACATGCCTAGGCCTGGCCCACATGTGACTGAATCAATGAACGCGTCAGTCAGGTGCCACACTCACGATCCCTGGCCATGCAGGCCACACACACACACACTTTTCACGAGAGAGAGAGGCCATCGACGTGTACAGACACATTAATTCCGTATGTATACGAAGTCAGTCAGTGTATACGGATGTGGGTACTCACATAATAACATATTAAAAATCGGTGTGTACAGAGATCGAGGGACACAGAGAGGGGAGGGGAGAGAGGAGGCAGAGGAGGCAGCCGACGTACTGTCAGGCAATTAGGCAGCAGAGATGGACACAAAGCAAGACACACGCACCGCATGCAGCGAGCCGCCCCGCCTTACCATCACCATGCACCACCGCCACCGCGAGTAAGTCAGGAGGGCTGGGGCGGATCGCTCGTGTGTGTGGAGGCGTATGCACATGACCGAGTGCCATGCAGCAGCCGCGCCCAATACGATATGAACTCAGGAAGCCGCCCACAGCCCCAGGGAACCAAAAAGTTGGCAAAAACGACTGACTGCATCGGAGCTGTCTGTCTGTCTGTCTGTGTGTCTGTCTGTCAGTCTGCCTGGTGTGAGTGGATGGGCCACGACTGTGAAACACACACTGCCACGTATGTGTGATGTGTGTGCATGGAGCAGACAATGCGGCGCAGATGGATAAACGGATGGATGAATGGATGGACACACCATACAAGAGAGTGTGATGTGTCGGTCGGCCCGTCTGTCTGTCTGGGTGAATACATATGCACATATGTGTACACCTTCAGAGAGAGAGAGAGAGAGAGAGAGAAGATGCCAACCATCAGCCCAACAAATTAAAGCACCGACCACCCAGCCATTCAGACGGAGAGGAGGGAGGGGCAAAACAGATAGACACGGTAGCCAAGGAGTGTTGGAGTGAGTGTGTGTATTAATTTCTGTCCACCGGTACGTTCACATCAGTCAGTCCATCCACACAAACACACACACGGACGCAGCCCGGCAGCCAGCCCGATACAGCTTGTTGGCCATGGTTGTGAGATTGTGTGGTGTGGGAGAAACCTGCCATGTAAGAAGGTCGATAGAGGGCACGGCATCCATTCATACACACATTCCTCCCTCAGCCCATGCCGTCATCGTCGCTGTCGTCGTCCTGCTGCTGCTGTACTTGGCCGTCGAAGACGTATGGCGTCACTCGCCCCAACGCCACACGGGCCAGCTGAGTGGTCACCGGGAAGCGGTCCTTGAAGGAACCGCTCACACACACAGGTGCCTCTGTTGTCCGAACATCCACCCTCACTGCAGACAGACGAGAGAGAACAACACATGACATTTGATCACCAGCAGAGCTGCCTGTCTGTCGGCCTGACCGGTGTTGTTTCCCATATCCACAATGGCAATCCATGCGACGAAGTCGTGGCTGTCGGTGAGCACCAGAAACCGCACACGACCGTCCCGGCTGAATGTGGTGGTGCAGCCGGCCACCGGTGTGTGGGGCGACTGGATGAGGAGGCCATCCAGACGGCGGCCACCAACACGCCTGAACCAACCACACACACACACACCACACAATCAGACACGCACCCCTCTCGCCCACTGGTGCCATTTGTGTGGTACCTGGTGAGTGTAGTCGATGTGAGATTGATCTGGTGAGTCTTGAGGAAGTGGCGGAGGATCACACGCTTGGCCAACGACGACAACGAAGCATACTCGTACAGGAAGCTCGACACTCATCCGCCCAAGGACTCGATGTGGCTGTCCAGTGGTGGGTCATGCTGTAGTCGGTGCCGCTGGTACAGATGGTGGGCGGCGAGGGGCGGGTCGATGTCCAGCCGGAAGCCGGGCTCGTCCTTGATGGCCCGCACCTCACCATTGGGATGGCGGAAGATCTGCAGGCAGCTGCCGTCACCGAAGTCGATGTAGCGGCCGACCACCATCAGCTGCGCCAACACACGAGCTACCGATCTATACGCCTACACGACACCACACACACAGACACACAGACAGACAGACAGAGAGAGAGAGGAATGACTGAGGCCTCTCTGTTCTCTCCCACCCCTCTGTGTGTGTGCCTTACCGTCTTGTTGGCATGTGTGTTGATGTCGTCTGCCGTGAGGTTGAGGGGCAGTGTGCAGTAGCGGCACTGGCTGGCCCACTGCAGCACCTCCCCCGTCTCATCCCACCGCCCGCCCTCCTCGGCGATCCACACGGCCGCCATGAGCTCACCCATCCCCAGCGATGGGTCGAACCGCACCAGCTGCAGCTGCTGAGTGTTGATGCCATCTCCGTCACGGCTCAGTGAGTTGGCGAGGCGGTTGCGCAGCTCTGCTATGGTGAAGGCAGCCCGGATGCGCCGCGATGTGACCCTCAGGCGGGCAACCGTGACGATGTCGGGCAGATGGCCTCGGCTGCCGACAAACAAGTGGCTGACGGGATGCTCCTGGGCAGCCATCGTCCCGTCAGCCGCCCCCGCCTTCACGCCACGCTGTCAACACATCGCTACGGACGGAAATCACAATCGCGTCGTGGATCGCCAAAGCTCGCAAAAGACTCGGCTTGCAAAAAAGAGCGACTCCGTGCGAGGAACGGAGCTTGTTCAACGTGAGATGTGACTCGCTCCCCTCCGCCCTTCACCACAGCAACTACTCGCTCCCTCACCTGACGCCACCTGCGCTTGGTGTCGTGACAGTGTCGTCGACAGGCCGGATCTGCCTGTTGGTGGCAGAGCGTCCTTCATCGATGACGGGGAGGACCCTGGACGGTGTGTCGCCCTCGGACACCAAGCTGCTGTTGGATTTCCTCAACCGACTCGGCTCATTCGAGAACGCGAACCGGTCACAAGCCAAGAACCTATCAAGGTCGGTACACCACACACACGGAGGGGCAGAAAAACGTCAGGGAATGATCTGTGTCGTGTGTTTGGCTCGTGGGGTGGGGTGGGGTGTTCTGGCTGTTTGGTTCAGGTTCATCTCGACTCGTTCCATCTCTGCGTGTGGTGATTCGCGAGCTCTCGCCACCCCACCACTTTCACCGGAGGCCAATGCCAAAGACACCTGCACACCAGGTCTGAGAGGCTGAGTGACAAAAGGAGGCCCATCAGGCAGACAGCAATGACACTCCGCGGCGCTCTCCCCTCCCTCCGTGTGTGACGGTTGCAGGCCAGCGCGCGTCATTGGATCGCACCAGGTTCGCCCACGCCCCCCAGGTGTCATCCTCCCCCCCCCCATTCTTCTCACGGCCACAACAGCCGGCCGTCCGACCACAGCCCACCAGAACAGACGAGACCACGGCTGTCCTAGACACCAGGTCGTCTTCGCCCAGCCCTCGGCGCGTGACGCCCCCTCCCCCAGCGTCAGACAGACCAGGATGTCTGACGCCCACCGGGTGTGTGCGGGGGCGGCGGAGGGGCCCGCTGCCGCTGACGCTTCACTGCGATGAGAGAAAGGAGGATCGTGAAGAAGCCCTCCTTTCCAAGCCCAGCTGGGCCAGAGGCCACACACGCCCAAGGGCTGTGACCGACCCCTACGTGCGGCACTCGCTGGACTCCATGCGCGACAACCCCCCGCCATCCAACCGCTCGGACGAGGTATTGGCGCCCCTGGACGACCCCCACCTCTCCCCTCTGGTGCAGAAAAGCCGGTCGCTCAGAGGCCGGCCGATTGCCCGGGGCCATCGTGAGGGCCTCATTTCCGCATCTGGGGGTAGTTCGCGGTCTGTGCCGTCGCCCTTTGGCGATGTGGGCTATGGGAGCGGTCGCAGGAGCAGTGTGGGGGCGGGCAAGGGGCGGGACGGCGTCAATAGCAATAGTGACGACGCCGTGGCGCGGTTCCACCGGCTGCATCGGACGGGGCGCGTCATCAGCTCACTCAACTGCCTCGATATCGGTACCTAATGACGCAGAGAGGGGGAGGAGAGAGTGGAGTGCTGTTGCCCTTTGTGCGCTCATGTGTGTTGTGTTGTGTACGTGTACGTGTGTGTCAGGTGAGGCGTACAAGGGCGCCATAGACGAGCTCAAGGCCAACCGCAACGCATCCCAGCCCATGACGGCCGTGGTCAACCCACGCGCAACAAACACGCCATGTGCGTCCAACTACCAGAGGGACCGGCCGCGGTCGGCCTCCGTCGACGCCTACACGTCGTCCAGCCACGCCAACAGCAGCGGCGTCCACCTGTCGGGCTCGAGCGACTCGCTCGTGTCGCCGAGTGCCTCTTCCCACGTGTCGAGACGGGGCAGCCGTGAGCGTGACGAGGGTGGCAGCCTGGGCGGCAAACAGGGCGGGTACTTTGCCTTCAAGAGCCTCGTGGGATCTGTCTTCAGTCTGGCTAAGCGGGGTGGACCTCAGGTGAGTGGAGTGCCGGACCGGAATACACAGACCAGACACCAGTGAGGGTGACATGTTCACGTGTGCGTGTGTGTGTGTGTGTGTAGGGTGGTGGTCCGCGGTCGCGCGCATCGCCCCGGAACGTCCCCATTCCAGAGGATGAGGAGCTCCCACCGCCCACAGCCGTCATGCCCGCCACACCATCCAGACAGGTAGGTACATCACACACGCACACACGAGAGGGGACACACTTAGAACCATCAACCAAACCACCATCACATTGCGTGTGTATGTGTCGTGTCGTGTTGTGTGTGTCAGGACCGTGTGAGCCAGTGGCAGCGTGCGTGCAACCGTCGGTCGGAGCAGTCGATGCTTCCCTCGCCGATGGAGAACCCGCCCACGGGCAAGATGGTGGCCCCCTCTGTGCGGTCGAGCGGCAGCATCGACTACTGGCCGGCAGAGGTCATCCAGCTCCTGGCGGGCGCGAGCGGGACCCCCATGGGCGGACCATTCTCGCCTGCATGCATCTACAGGTGAGTTCACCGAGCACATTCATCAAACGAATCACACACGGATGCCCATCCATCCATGTCGATGTGTGTGCCTTGGCGCAGGTTGACGGGTAAGACGCCCCGTTCGTCGTCGAGCAGCCCTCCCCCCGCCTACATCGACGGCATCGGCAGCGGCGGGCCCCCCGTCTTCCACACGCCGGTGCTGCTGCCGCCACCACAGGAGAGGGGCCTGCAGCTCGCATGCGGCATTCACTGCATCCCCAAACCTGACAAAACCGGCACAGGTGAGTGACTGAAGGAGGGAGGACACACACATCGGTGAATATAGGTGGATGGATGGATGGATGTGTGTGTGTGTGTGTGATCCATCAGGTGGTGCGGACGGTTACTTCATCGACGAGCAGTGCTGTGCCGTGGGAGTGGCTGACGGTGTGGGCGAGTGGGAGCAGCTGGGCATCAACCCCCGCATGTTTGCCGACGAGGTCATGGAGGGATGCAGAGCCGCTGCGCCCAAAATCAACGACATAGATGTCAGCCACCCAGACACACGACAAACGCCATCGACAAACACACCACGCCATGTACATCTGTCCTGTCGTCATGCATCTGTGCGTGCAGTCGCTGTCTTCCCCGTCGATGAAGGCCCGTCGCATATTGCAGAAGGGGTTCGACGCCGCGCGTGCGTGGGGCTCATCCACCGCCCTCGTGGCGTGCCTCGACGAGCAGGGCAAGCGGCTGGGCGTGGCTAACCTAGGAGACTCTTCCGCACTAGTGCTCAGGTGAGTGAGGAGTCGACACGGGTCTTCTTCACAACACGTGTGGACGTGATGTGTGTGTGTGTTGGGTGTGTGTCGATGTGATGTGCAGGCGTGGCGGGTCTGATTTGTACATGACGGTCGTCCGGCGCATTAAAGAACAGCAACACAACTGGTAAGGCGAGGCGCACCGCACCAAGACAATAAATACATCACATCAAATCAACACACACCATTTCTGTCCATCTCAACTGTCTGTCTGTCTGTCTGTCTGTCCAGGAACTGTCCGTTCCAGCTGGCCAACGTCCCTGTGCGCGAGGACTGGCCCATACTCGAACAGAACGGCCTCCACAGGCTTCTCAGGTCAGTGATCACCCACCCACCCACCTACCAAAAACCAGCACACCAAATCTCCTTTCCCTTGTCCATCCATTCCACGCAGGCTTCTCCAAAATGCGGCCGTGTCGGGTGCGTCTGCCACTCGTGCCGACCAGCCGGCCCAGTCTGAGCTGTACGATGTGCCGGTCAAGGAGGGGGACCTGCTCATCTTCGGCACTGACGGCGTCTTCGACAACCTACACGACTACGAGGTCTGCGCACTCTGCTCACTCGCCACCTCGCCATGGGAGGCCCGGCTCTTCTACCACAATGAGGCCCTATCCACACACCCTGATGTAAGCAGCAACGACGCACTGGCCCGACACACAGACGTCAATGCCTCCAATCCATGGTGTCGTCTTGTCTTGTGTATGGTATGGTCAGAACATCGCTCGTGCGTTGGCCAAGGCGGCGTTCTTCCGCTCCCTCGACTCGAGGGCTCGCACGCCATTCGCCAGGGGTGCTGCGCGGGCTGGCGAGGCATTCCAGGGGGGAAAACCTGACGACATCACGGTAAGGAACAAGACAGGCACACGATGGAGATGTGTTGGATGCTATCCTCCACCCATTCACGCAGGTGCTGGCTGCGTGGGTGACGTTCCCGGCCTCATCGCCCACCGCCCAGCCGCGCCGGTCGCTCCCCCGCTCGTCCGCGCAGCACCACACCAGCCCACAACACAACAGGGAGAGGAAGCGATGAACGGCTGACATGCGGTGCTGAGAGGGGGGCTCCTCGGTCCGTCTATTAGTTTCGTCCATTCCTTGATAAGTTGGTTTAATTCGGGCAGGGCAGCGGGCGGGTGGTTGTGTGGGTGGTGTGTGGGTAATGAGGGATGCTTTTCCGCGCATTGCGAGTGAGTGGATGGGCGGGCGTTTTTAATGCCATTGGGTGCGGATTGCTGCAGAGAGGGAGGGAGGGATTAAGCGCAGCACACGGGGGACTTTTTGTCGCCTGTGTATGTGAGGGTGTGGTGCATTGTGGAAGTGCGGGAGTGTGGGAGTGTGCAGTGCGGTTGTGTGGTGTCTCGTGGAGCTTTGCCTAAGGTCGTGTCCAACTCACTCTCTCCTAGATGTGTCATCTGCCGGCGTTTTGTGCCTGGAATGGTGGTGTCCGATCTCCACACAGCGTCCTTCACGCACGCCAGGTGGAGATTGGACGCCAACACTTCCAGCGTCGAAACACGGGCAGTCACACGTGAGAGTCTATCTGCCTGTATCTCTGTTGTCTTGACTGGTCTGTCTGTCTATCTGTCTGTCTAGCTATACATACCGCCACGTAACACACACGACCGCACTGGTCGTCACCTTCCTCCCTCCCTCCCTCCCTCTCTGCCTCTTCTTATCATGCGTCCGTGCCATCGATACCTCGTTAACTCTTTTTACCTTTTCATCATACAATGGATGTGCTGATGGAAGGATGTGAGATGGATGGGTGGATGGATGGGTGTCTGCTGCCCGTCCCTGGGTGTCTGTATGAGCGGACGGAGCGGGGTGATGAGTGGATGTCTTGGCTGGCTGGGTGGCCGCCTGACGTGCCTGCCTGCCTGCCTAACTGCCTGCCACAAGTCTTTCTTTCCTTGATACCGGTCGCTTTCTACTGTCTGTCTGTCTGCGTGTGTGAATGTGTGAGAGTAATCGTATTGTATTGTATTGTATGTATGTGTGTGTATTGTCTGTAGTCGTTTTGCCTAAAGGGAAGAGGGGATGGATGGATGGATGGATGGATGGCGACCAAAATGCTGGTCGTTGCAGCGTGTGAGTGCTGTTTCGTTCGGGGGCTCTGTATATATAATACTCGCTGGACACACCATGTCTAGCCGAAGTGACCTACATGGCCGGCCGCCTGTCCACTCCAGAACCAGACAGACAGACAGACTGGCGCCTCCCTGCTGAGGGAGGCGCACAGGGGCCCCATTGTAAGGGGCGTGGGGAGGGGGAGAGGGGTCCGTCCACACACACAAGGGCGTGCAGTTTCCTCCCTGTTGTCAATATGCCTTGCTCTTGCCCTACCTTGTCTGGTGTTTCCTTTCACACGTACGCACCAACACGCGCCGTCTAAACACTCTTTGCTGCTGTCGATCTCTCTCGAAGAGTTCTTTCTGCATGGTGTGATTGTTGTGTGTTGAAGTGTGTGTAGTGGTCACTTTGCATGCATACAGCAGCCCCCGCAATTCACTCTGTTGGTTGGCAGTGCATCGTTTCGTCGTTCGTTCATCTGGAATAAACACACGTACATACGACAGTCACACATCGACTGGCTTGACGATGATCGATCCGTCCACAGTGACTGAGTCAATGAATGCTTCACGCATGCATTTAATGATGAGTTTTCTACTCGTCTGTCTCGTGCTGCTGCAACTGCAACAGTAGGGGGCCAAGAATGCTCGCTTCGCTTCGCGCACTATCCTCATTTCTCGTGCTCGCGCCCCTGTCTACTCTGCTACTCACTCAGCCAGACAGACAGGGAGGGACCAGTGAGCCAATCGGTTTTCCGTCCATGCGCTGGAGCTAGTTAGTCTACCTGCGGAGTGAAAATCGCATGCACCACTTAGTTACTTACTTGGCCACAGAGAGTGAGAGAGACAAGAGGGGAGTGATCGAAGTGAGCGCTTTGACAACTGATGTACATGTATCCATAGACACACATTGCCACACCGGCGAAGGGTTTGCTCCTCAGTTTTTTCTGCTCCACTGACTGACTGCATCTCACCGATCGATGACGTGCTGGTGGCTGTGTGCGTGTTTGCTTACGTGTCTCTTCCTGGCTGTGCGGCAAGTTGCTCGACGGCATGCGGCGACGTGCACTCTGCAGTGCAAATCGATCCGTATGTGATCTGTCATCTTGCTTCGGCGTACGGTGAAGACGCGTGTTGGTCCAACAGCAAACCAGAGCTGAACCCTACCCTCAAGATCGTCTCGCCACCAAAGCTGGCTGACACACCAAGCAGACCACTTCGTGACAGGATCCCTTTGGGGTTACAGACCCGAGTCTCGTTAAACACAATAACCAACCAACCAACTTCACGCTCGTCAGCGTTTGCATAGCTCATCTCAATTGCTAGTGATATGACTGTCACCAGTGCGATATCACGCGTTCCGAGGCGCGGCGAGATGGGACATCCTCTGTCCCACTCATTCGCGTGCGTCTTTTCCTCAATTCTCTCTCTCCTGGGTGACAGTGAAGATGCAGCAGCAGCAGCAGCAGCAGCATCCCTTCACGTACATCTTCGTTGGTCGGCGCACATTCTACCTGCTCAGCCTCACAGACATACTCCAGCTGAAAGCCACCTGCACATGCCTCAGAGGTCTCTTCGGAGCGGCCCAGCT